CAACTGCGTTATCTGTAAAAGCTTTAATGAAGCCTTGCTTGTTCTTCTGGCGATAAAGTCGCAAGATAAATGCTTCCTGGCAGGACTCAATGATTCTGTGTGCTTTGTATACCAAAATGCCTAGCAAAATAAGAGGGTTTTAAGTTATAAAAAGTAAAGAAAAGTCTAATTTTGTATAGATTTTTCCCTCAAAACTGTCTTATTCTTTTAAGATTTTTTTTGCTTAAATAAAATATAATAGGAATTTAAATCTTCTAAAGCAATGGTTGAACAAACTTTTAGGGGTTCAAGCCAAATGATTCCTCAGTTTCAATACCACGGAATCCCCATATAACAGAACTGGGATAATGACGCATCTTTAGCAAAACAAAAGCTTGTGCTTGATTGGTAGGACTTACTGGCTTAGAAAATTCTTTACTTCTAAGACAAAACTTTAACTTCAGCCTTTTAAAAGGAGTAAAAGCAAATACAAGACACTAACACAACAAAGCATGTTCAGGATTGTGATATTTGAATTATTTTGTTACAGAAGTTCTGGAATTACAGACTTGTCAGACATGTTTCATTGATAAGAGTTCAAGCCTTTACATAAGAACAGAACTTCTGAAAACCTGTATTTTGCTTTCCCCCCCTTCTGATATTCATATTCACACTTGAGGACAGAAGGTACCATCAACTGTATGAGTACACTACCAATTTTCTTCAGGGATACAGTTATATTAGGAAAAAAAGATTTATCATGCACATTTTAGTACATAGAAGTGAAACAATAGTTTAACTACATTAAGCGTTTGAGGTGAATACTTGCGGGATTTACACTTCACTCAGCCAAGATCTGTTAAAAACAAGGCTTATTTTTTCTCACACTTAATTGTGTTCAATAGCACATTACATTTTTTCACTCTCTCCCTAGTGAAGCGAGGCCCATGTGGTGCTTTTATCCGTTCACAGCTGCCAGTGGAATAATAAATGCCTTTCTAAAATGGAAGCAAAGGACATCAAACATCACAGGTTTTACCTGGTACCTACACGCACTGTAAGTTTGTCAGCTTATTTAATTTCTGTAACAAGTTTCTTCAACTCAGCACCCAACCATTGATTTTAATATGCCTTTGCTTTGTAAATGAAAAAGCATCTACAAGAAAAAGACTTCCATAAAACTACTAGCCATTTATGATCAAGTCATGGAATAATCCACTAAAAAGTATTTTTCTATCTAGACAGTCTTACATCTCTCCTATAAAGCAAAATTTTCAGGACATGATAGTGATCCTACTCATTTGTGAACATTTTCCAGTTTTTCAAGATACGATTCTGAAAGGACATTACAAGACACACAGAATTTGTAACAGGCCAGTAAGACTATGGGTTTCTTATAACTTCCTGCTTTTAGTCAATATTTCTCTGGTAATTAAGTGAGTTCATACTGCTGTGTAAGCCTTGGTAGAAACAACTTGCCACTGTTTACTGCACCAACTCGAATCAGTTTTATTATGCTATTAAGTACCTCACTTCTACTTTGCCAAACCCACCAGGAATAATTCTTCTTTACTACAGCGACAATTTCTTATCCTCATTTAGCTGAATTTATGAGTTCATCAGACTTTAATTCACATGTGATTCTACATTGATTTTATAAACATCTGTAACACCTGGATGCACTTCACTGATTGTTGCTATTTTAACTCCTCAAGAAACACCATTACAAGTTTTTGTCGTACAATTTCACACACTGAATATACATTTCCAACAGGACCACGTGTTGTCACAGTTTTAACTAAAGCAGGGAGGCTATCAAAGCTGCTGTCACACTGACCTCTAGTGGCAACGCAAAAACTGTAACAGCTGCGTGTCATCAGAGGACAGAACTGTTTTTTAAATCTTCAGTTTATTTCTTCTTTTCATATTCTTAAAGTCCAAAGGTGTGGTTTGTTTTTTTTTTTCCCCCTTATTTGGTAGGGCAGAAAGGTAGAGGGGAAGGCATCAACAGGAAGAAGACAAATTAAAGTAGGTTGCCTAGAAAATTTGCTCACTTTTTTTTTTAACCTAGAAAAATCGGAACTGACAAATCTGGTGTCCTTTGGCTCTCGCATAAAACTATTCAAAATGTTTCACAGATTACAGCTTTTTATACATTGACTAAAAGGAAGGGGACGCAGCTTCTGAAGCAAACGTACATTTTTCTAAGCATTCAATGTTCAGTTATGTTTAGTCATTAAGGAGATGTTAACATTTTGGTAACACTAAAATATTCTTGTATTCCTGGCTCTTAGAAGTCTATTTTACTAGCTCTCCAGGCTTAAACAGGGTTTCCAGCTCAGACAAGACCACAAAAGCAATGGGGGTCGGGGGAGAAGGGGAACAGAACACGAGAGGAGAAAGATAATTGTAACATCTTTCATTTATAGCTTCTATGTAATAACAAAAAAGGTCACAAGCTATTCCCCAAAATCTTTACAAGGACAGTGGCAGCATAACTTCATAATACTGCTATTTAGATAGTGTCCAAGGTGTGTCAGACAAAGATTAGTAAGATACTGCTATTTTTTGATAGGAAAAGTCATCAGAAGTAATTGGTTAATGCAAAAAAATAGGTAGCGTGCAGGGCTGATAAAACATGCTATCTAAGATCAGCTTCAGTCATAGGCCATGTACCGAGAGTATTCTGGACACTATTTCATCAAGTGCAATCAATTATTTTCCTTGTAAAGAAGAACTACATATTTGCTCCTTTTACCTTAGTCTTTGCGGAAAAAAAAGGAATAATTATACCATCTCAATACTGGTCACTATAACTCTTCATGCAGAATTAAGCCTTATGTATTTTCAAACAGAACAGTCTTACCTTTATTTCATTAAACTCTTACCAGTAATGAGGTTTGCAGGAATTCTGTCAGTAAGGAAATCCACCACAAGGATTCGACTTGTTGCAAAGATGACTCCTCCTTGTGTGTAAAATTCATATCGAGTATTATTTGTAATTTCATTGGTAACACGCCGAGGAAGATGAACGACTCCATCTGACCTCAGCTGATCAATAAAATACTCCTAAACCAAACACAATAGAAACACAAGAGTTCATTGTGGTAACTCATTAAATGGATGCAAAACCCCCTTAATTATATATACCCCGTTAATTTTGATGAACTGTCCACAACAAATAAAAACCATGAGAGTATAAGATGCTACCTAAGGAAGTCAGAATTATCACAACTTTTTTCATCTTAGATACACTTTGTTCAGTTTCAAACTCATCCAAGTGATTTAAAAGTCTACATATTTTCAGTAGTAGCTAGACAATACTTCAGCAAATATGAGCCACCGACACCCAAAGGAGCTTACATTTTCTCTTATATTTTACCAGCTCTTTTCAGAGAATAGGCAATTTTAATACTGAGTTGTAATACTGACTTTCCCAATACAGAGAACTGGAGAGAGATCACCTTTCAGTCCCCTCACCTGCTATGACAAACAACTACACCGGGTAGGTAATATATGTCAAGCTTAATCTTATAAACTACAGCTGTGGTATTTATCCGCCTATGGTCACGGCAAAAAGTCCCGGTAACGTCACCTCCCTGATGGGGGGATCTCTCCGGTTCCAGGGAAAACCGAGCGCATTTTCGCATACAGGCAGGGACAAACCTGTCAACAAGTTTCTCCCCTTTCTGCTCATTGACTACTCACATATTTCTGCTATTACAGGTTATGAATTATTGTGAGGACTTCACCGTAGAAGTTCGGACCCCGCTTTGCCCCTCAGGGCGCCTGGCCGGACACCTTCTCCCCGGCAGCC